TCATTATTTATGACGAGCACTGTATTTCTTCCATATAGGTATGATATGCACTGGCAGGGCTGTGTCCATTATGAAAAATTTTAAAAAATGCTTCTTTTGTCTCATCACTTACAGAACGAAAACTCGTGGTGTGACTTGATGTGAGGGGATGGATGATTGTGGTGAAATATCAAAGAAATTATACATGGATAAGTATCAGATATGTATGCTGAGTTTTGCCTGGTATCTCTCTTTCGTGTATTAATTATTTCACTTTTTTTTTTCCTCTGTAGGTTCGATGTTTGTATGATTATTTTTTGTTTTTTGCCCTTGTTTCAGCTTTACCAGGTGACTATAAGCACAGTGAAACCGTTTAAAAAAAATATATTTAACCCCTTTAATAATTCTGCCTTGTGTCTCTCGCATAGTGACCTTGTGTAAATTAGAAAATTCATCAAGCCATACTTTGGCGTCGTCAACTGTACAAATATTCACGTGAAGTTTTGCTTCAAACGGTTCTGAAAATGCACCCAAAAAATTTAATGGTGGTATTGCTTTGAATAAATCAACAACATAATTGTAGTTTAAGGGTAAAACGCGTTCCAAGGTAATGAGGTTATCATTTATATTGCGGTTCGATATTATATGATAAAAAAATATGTGGTATGATGGTACTATTTTTATTTAAGTTCGATTTCATTTTATAAAGAAAGCATAGGTTTATGTTGAATAAGGTAAGAAGGTAAAAAAATTTATCATTAATGATTTATTGTTTTCATACGTATTAATTTGAAAAATGTCGTTCTTTAAAAATGCCGTCATAATTATGCAAACGTAATCATCAATTGGAATTTCTTGACTCCGACATCAGGTACCGTATAGCACTGCTTACAGTACCCCGGGTCTTAATCAAGATTAGCTTTTCTTTAAAACTGAATAGTACCCCGGGTACTCTATGCAGAACCGGGTACTTTATTCGGATAATATTATATTATAGATATTGTATAATAGAGGGGTACTAATCAAGAATTGGCAAAAATTAAACCTGAATAGTACCCGGGTCTTAAAAATGGAGGGTACTATATATTGGGGATACTGTAAGCAGTGCTATGGTAATAATTGTAGATCATTATTGCTAACTGAAACATTAAAAGTAACTTTACAACGATTTTCTCATCATTTATTGAACTTGTCTAATTATTGTTTTATAATTAAATGCGAAAATTTTAGTAATAATTGTTAGTTGAAAATAAAACAATCGATCAGTTTATAGAGTTGAAATTCACAACGAAATTGAATGACTAATTGATTTTTCGATTAATTATCGATTAGTCAACTAATCGATTCGCAACTATTTTATTAAACCTAATTGCAAACAGTCTGATTTACAAAAATGCATTCTAACGTCTAAGGATGCAGTAGAGGCTTAAAACACGTAACGTTATTAAGTTATAACTTATGGTCGCGCATTTGATTTTATATTATGTTCGTATTTACTTTAATGCCGTAACATATCGATATAGTCGAACATATTGTAATGTTTTTATCGTTATATAATATATAGTGTGTTGCAAAAGTCTTTGGACAATCATCGTTCAAAATCAAATTGGTGTAACTCACTCCAAATAAAAAGAGATAAGATATTCGGTACTACGAGAGTCATTTTACTTTCTTTTTTTGCAAAATTTTGTTGATATATT